TTCTCAAAGTATCCACTGCGTTCTACTCCCTCAAGGGGCGGTCGTTTTCTACTACTTTTTCGAGTACCACTTATGCATAAGTGATATATACAGATAAGCAGTACTGCAGGATAGAAGAGAGGAGCAAGGACACTTGTGAGAAGTTCCAAACGATTAACGGTGACAGTGGTTGGAGGATGGTGGGTGATGGGTGTACAGATGCCGCTATGGAGGCACAAGCAATAACTCTTGCTTAACAGTTCACGTCCCTCCGTGGCACAAGGAGTATTTCTCGTTTTGCGTAGCTGTAGAAATCCCCTATATTATCATTCACCTCGTTCCGCCAACAATTTTTCCCCCTACTTTCACCTTCGACGTTTTCACCCGTACATCACTATATTCAGCACTGTGATGGTGGAATCGCACATGGCTCTTTGATTTGAATAGTTTAGGGCATTTACTGTGCAATGAAACTCGCTATTTCCCCACAATTTTTTTATCGAGGAGTCTCCAACTTGAGACTGTGACGTATACTGGCTTTTTGGTTATAACACACGTAATTCTCAGTTTCTTTTAAATTTGTTTTAAGTCTGTCATGCAGTTGCGGTTTCCCACGACTTGCTGGCATTTTATATCAGTGTTTTTGATGCGTTGATTTTCAAACCTACTTCCTTAATTCGTGCGTCGAGTCCCTCCAGCATCTCATCCAGCTTGTGAGAAATGTTTGCAATGAAAGCTGTTTCTTCCACGAAGCGTAAATAATTGCCGGATTGGTTCTCGAGAATAGATTTACCTACTTATTATGCAGTGATTTTATCAGTAATTTTGAAATATTTCAGGACTGTCTCTCAGTAGCACCCGCAGAACCTCCAAGTCAACAGTGACACGACGGTACAACAAATTTAAATTGTTCCCGAGATTTTTATTGCAGGCGTTAGTTCTGCAGCTGTTGTACAGCTATTGGACTTATACGTATTTCAGGTACCGCATATTCTGGTACTTCAGCTAGTTGTTTTTTATTGTTGTTGTTGCTTGTGTTTTGTAATAGTTTGTACAGTTTTCTGAACTTAACTATGGCTGTACGACGGAGAGAAATGGAGCCATAAAGCAGCCTCCCTGCCTTCTAGCCTGTTTAATGCATTGAAAGTCTGAAAGTCACTTTTTTTTGAATAACGAAAACTGTTTTAACCGCCAATGTGCTATTTGGTTACTGTATTACAACGAAACGCAAAAAATTTATTTTTATGTATAATATACATCATTTTCTTGGAAAAAATTCAGAATCTGATCAAAAAACAGCTAAAAGTGGAGCGCTAGCAAAAGAGGATATGAAACAATTCTGAGCAATTTGAATCTCGAAAAAAAAAATAGCTGCTAGCTTGATAAAGCACCAATTGCAGAAAGAGATTGCAAAATTTTAGGTACCATAAACAACAAATAAAGATGCAAAATCTCACTGTGTCGCATAGCACGTGTGTGATTTACAAATATCCAGGAGAAACAAACGCAGGCTTACGTAAAAGTTGACCCATCCGGTGATGCAGTTTCGACCACAGCAATCTTAAAAACGACACATTTTGCAAACTTTGAAAACCCAAATAGTCGTTTCAAAATCTGCTTTTTTCCTAAAATTTATGAAAGATTTGTACTAGCTGAAAAGAAGTCAAGCAGTACTAGCACTTGTTTTATTCCCAATTACTACTGGAAGTATTTCGAATTACTTCTACCCTTCAAACGAAGTGAAATCTAAGTGAAAATAGGTCAAGCGAAAGCGCAATGGAGAAAGAGTTGAGGGTCGATTTGACCTCTGACCAATTTTTCAAGTTTTTTCACGGTGCAGTACTTGCATTCTGTTTAAGAAATATCCGGGAAATTTACGAGAAGCAAATTAAACATTGTTTTCTATATTACCAGTTATCAATGAAGATCAAGCTTTTCGTAACGTACTAAACAGGTAGCGAGCAAATAACACTAATAGGCAAAGGATTTTTGTAATTTTTCGACAATGTTGCGTACTAATGAGTAGTACCCGCGAGAAAGTAAGCGACCATTCAAGTGACCTCTTCCAAGAGATGGCGGACATACACCGAACAGGCAATGGAAGTGTGCAGTACAAGCTAGAAAGGCTGGGTACAGCTTCACCCCAGCATACGGGGACTTCTCAGTAATACCACTTTCATGGGATTCCCACAGCGAATATCTGAACGATTTTAGCGTGCAAAAAAAAAAAAAACTGAAAAGCAAAAAAAAAAAA